GCATGTCGGAGCGCGGTCGCGCCACGTTGAGCACGATCAGGCGCCCGGCCACAGGCTGCGAGATCCAGGTCATGAACACTCACAGGTTCGAGATCTCCCCCGCGAGTCACGACCGTACGCGTCGCGCCTGGCGCGACTGCGCGGCGCGGGCACACCGTGACCCGCTTCACGGAACATGTGTTTTTGGAGACTTCAAGATGTTTGATACCCGCTCGGAGACGTCGCTGCACCGTGTACCTCGCCAGGCCAGACGATCTGGCGCTGGACGCGCCAGCTTCTCGGAGTCCTTCTGGCGGGAGCTATCCGGCAACCCCCGCACGCTCGAGACCTGCCCGCCGCATCCCGCACATTCCACGAAGCACGATGGCAGTCTGAGAACGATCGACAGATTCTCGGTCTCAATGGAATCGTCGTTCGCGGTGGCGACGGAGCGCGAAATCCAGGTGCTCCACGACGCGGGCACACGAAGATGACGACGACGACGACAACGACGACTACGAGAATGAGTCGAAAACGACGACGACGACGACGACGACGACGACGACGACGACGACGACAAGGAATACGAGGATGCGGCGAAAACGACGACGACAACAAAGATTGCGAGGATGCGGCGAAAACGACGACTACAAAGACGACGAAGACTACGAGGATGTAGCAAAAACGACGACGATGACGAAGACTACGAGGATGCAGCGAAAACAGCGACGACGACGACAACGACGACGATGACGACGACGAAGACAACCTTGATGCGGCGAAAACGACGGCGACGACAACGAAGACTACGAGGATGCGGCGAAAATGACGACGACGAAGACGAAGACTACGAGGATGCAGCGAAAACGACGACGACGACGCAGACTACGAGGATGCAGCGAAAGCAATGACGACGACGACGACGGCGACGACAACGACGACGAAGACTACGAGGATGCGGCGAAAACGACGACGACGACGACGACGACGACGACGACGACGACGACTACGAGGATGCAGCGAAAGCAATGACGACGACGACGACGACAACGACGACGACGACGACGACGACGACGACGACGACGGCGACGACAACGACGACGAAGACTACGAGGATACGGCAAAAACGACGACGAAGACGAAGATTACGAAGACGAAAACTACGAGGATGCGGTGAAAACGATGACGACGACGACGACGATGGCTACGAGGATGCGGCGAAAACGACGACGACGAAGACTACGAGGATGCGGCGAAAATTACGACGACCAAGACTACGAGGATGCGGCGAAAATCGCGACGACGACGAAGACTACGACGACGAAGACTACAAGGATGCGGCGACGACGACGACCAAGACTGCGAGGATGCGGCGAAAACGACGACGACGACGAAGACGAAGACTACGACGACGAAGACTACGAGGATGCGGCGAAAGCGATGACGACGACGAAGACTACGAGAATGCGGCGAAAACGACGACGGCGACGACGACGACAACGATCACGACGATGACGACGACGACGAAGACTACGAGGATGCGGCGAAAACGACAACGACGACGACGAAGACTACGAGGATGCAGCGGTAACAACGACGACGACGACGACGACGACGGCGAAGACTACGAGGATACAGCGACGACGACGACGACGACAACGACGACGAAGACTACGAGGATGCAGCGAAAACGACGACGACGACGAAGACTACGAGGATGCGGTGACGACGACGACGAAGACTACGAGGATGCGGCGAGGACGACGACGACGACGACGACGAAGACGAAGACTACGACGACGAAAGCTACGAGGCAGCGGCGAAAACGACGACGACGAAGACTACGAGGATGCGGCGAAAACGACGACGATGACAACGATCACGACGATGACGACGACGACGACGAAGACTACGAGAATGCGGCGACAACGACGACGACGAAGACTACGACGACCAAGACTACGAGAATGCAGCGAAAGTGACGATGACGACGACGAAGACATCCTGGATGCGGCGAGAACGACGACGTCGACGACGACGATGACGACGACAACGACAACGGCAACGACGACGGCGAAGACGACGACGACGAAGACGAAGACTACGAGGATGCGGTGGAAACTACGACGATGACGAAGTCGACGAGGATGCGGCGAAAACGACGACGACGACGAAGACTAAGAGGCTGCGGCGAAAACGACGACGACGACGAAGACTACGAGGCTGCAGCGGAAACAATGACGACGACGATGACGAAGACTACAAGGATGCAGCGCAAACGACGAAGACGAAGACTACGAGGATGCGGCGACGACGACGACGGCGAAGTCTACGAGGATGCGGCGCGGGCACGCGACGACGACGACGAAGACGAAAACTACGACGACGATGACTACGAGGATGCGGCGAAAACGGAGACGACGACGAAGACTACGACGATGCAGCGAAAACGACGACGACGACAACGACCACGATGGCGACGACAACGACAACGACGGCGACGACAATCAAAGACGTCGAGGATGCGGCGAAAACGACGACGACGAAGACTACGAGGATGCGGCGACAACAACGACTACGATGAAGACTACGACGACCAAGACTACGAGGATGCAGCGAAAACGACGACGACGACCACTGAGACTACGAGGATGCGGCGAAGACGGCGACGACGACAATAACGATCGACGACGACGACGACCACGAAGACTACGACGGTGCAGCGAAAACAGCGACGACGACGACGACGAAGACTAGGAGGATGCGGCGAAAACGACGACGACGATGACGAAGACAACGACCACGATGACGACGACGACGAAGACTACGAGGATGCGGCGAAAACGACGACGACGACGAAGACTACGAGGATGCGGCGAAGACGACGACGACGATGAAGACGAAGACCACGACGACGACGACGACGACGAGGATGCAGCGAAAACGACGACGACGAAGACTACGAGGATGCGGCGAAAACGACGACGACGAAGACGACGACGAAGACTACGAGGATGCGGCGAGAACGACGACGACGACGACGACGAAGAAGACAGTCGCTGGGCCTCCGAGGCGGTGTCTCCTGGGGCAGCGCGGCCACGCCGCCGGGCGACGCCCAGGGGACGGCCGAGGCCGCTTCCGCCGGGGCGCACGGCGGCGCGGGGCCGCGGTGCGCGGGGCAGCTGTCGCAGGGCACCCAGACGGAGCGGCGGCAACGGCGGATCCTCGGTCCTCGCGTCTTCTCCTCGATCCCGGTTCCTCCTCGACCCTCCTCCCCCGTTCCTCCACCTCTTCCTCCTCCCTCCTCCCTCCACCTGCTGCTCGGTCCTCCTTCCGCCTCCCGCCTCCTCCTCGCAGATCTCCCGCGACCGGGCTTGCGTTTTGTATCCCAGGCCCCCTCGCGTCGCGAAAAAAAAAAAAAACGCAACGGGAGGTTCCTAGCAAGTTTCGCCCCTGGGGGGGCCCTCGCTGGCCCTTTGGGACCGTCAAAAAACAACTCGGGATGGAAAACTTGTTCTGGGGAACAGTTTGAACAAAAGCACGACGTCGGACGTTTGGGGTCTCGGCGTTTGTTTCTCGAGCTCGGCCTCACAAAGGGCCCGTCTGTCTGGTCTTCGGGGCCATCGGAGGCCCGGTTCCCCCGAGGAGGCGATCGGGAGCCCTGGGGCCGCGAACGGGAGAAATCGACAGAGTGAGATGTAGAAAAAAGTCGTCGGATGTCTGGATTGGCGGCGGCGGCGAGGCAGGGAGATGGGAGGGGGGAGGAGAGGGGGAGGGGATAGGCGAGGAGAGTGGAGGAGAAGGAGGAGCAGGAGGAGGAGGAGGAGGGGAAGGAGGAAGAAGAAGAGCACTTCAGTACGCCAGCATTCGAATTACGATCAGCTTCCTTCTCCCCGAGCCGAAAGCGAGCACCACTCCTCACCGTCTAGGGTCGGACGCGCAAATTTCCCGAACTGGCCGCGAGCACCGATTGCATTGACAGCCACCACCGCCAGATGCCTTCCTTCACTTCAGCTGAACCCCCACACCTCCTGCTTCACTCGAGGCACACGGTGGTGCTCCCCGCAGGGCCGAGCAAACCACACATACAAAAAAGCCGCACGCATTCTCTTGTACTGTCTGCTGCCTGCCCACGCCCACACCCACATGTCAAGCCCATGCTGGCACGCACACGCACTCACACAGCCACGTCAATTATCTTTGGGAAGGTCAGGGATGAGTTTTAGGAGGGCCGATGCATGCGGATGAGGTAGATGGCCACGGGCCTGCTGTTGGTATCCATACCAGTTACCAGTACCAGCCCTGCCAAACCTTGCTTCAAACGAGCACTGCGTAACACCGTCCAGATTGCCCATACAGTTTAACGCCCTGCCCCGCCCCAGCCCAGCAGTGGCATCCACACTCTATGACTACGTTCTTGATGTTATGGTTTGAGGGTTCTCAAGTCACGTGGGGTGTTACCTGTACGCTTGCTTCCTGCGGCCATTTTGTCTCGGCAGGGGACGCTTTAACAAGATGCGCCCCATTGTGGATTGCCGATTAGCTTCCCCACGGAATATATGCACGAGCTGCCACCCGCCTTTTGCACAGTGGTTCGATGACCTCCCTCCTTTCGGAGCCATCCCCTTCGACCATGCTATGTTATGAGATCGATGAGTCTTAGTCTTACCCTTCTTCTACCCTGTGGCTGCCAGTCTACTTGACTAATCCCTAGCGGCCCTAACTGTTTTTTCCCAGTTCTCTCTGCCATTCGGTGTTGTTTCTGCACTTGCTGGCAGCTGCACTAAGGCCACACCGTTTGAATCGGTTGTCTCTGGTTTACCGTTCTTGCCGCTAGGACGCTGAGATCATCCGATCATAGTCCGTGCAGCGTACAAGGAGGAGGAGGAGGAGACGGAGAAGGAGGGCAGGGGGCAGGGGGGAGAAGGACTTGTGGGGAGGTGAGGGAGGGCCGAGGGGGGAGAATGGGGGTCGGGAGGCCGGGATGGGGAGGGAGCCGAGGGGGCGGCGGGGGGCGACAGGGGGCAGAGGAGCGCCCGCCCGGGCCTGCCGCCGCGCAGCCGGCGCCCTCGGCGCCCGCGGCGCCCTCAGCCCCGGGGAGAGCCCACCCCGACGGGGGCGCGCGCGAGACGGACTCGCTGGTGTCCATCTCGTCCTTCAGCTTCGGGCGCGAGGACACGCGCGTGCTTCTGCGCGACGAGGCGCGCTGCGACGGGCACCGGGCCTCGGCCGCCGCAGCGGGGGCCTCGTCGGGCGCGGGCGCCGCGGCCGCGTGCGGCGCGGAGGCCCGGGCCGCCGCGCTCGGCCCCCCGCGGCGCGGGGACGTCGTGCGGCAGCTCGACTTTGCGGCGGCCGAGGGGCCGGCACGGGCCACGGAGCCGGCGCGAGCGGGCGCTGCAGTCGGCGCACTTGGCGGCGCAGGGGCCCTCCCCGCGAGGGCGGCGCTGGGCGAGATCACCAACACCGCCGGCGGCGTCAGCCTCGGGAAGCAGTCGAAGGTCAAGCCTTGAGGGGGGAGGGGCCGGTGGGCGAAAGGGAGCGAACAGCCTCGGCCTCCGCGAAGCCTTGCATGAGGTGCATGCTCCCCTCGTTTGTCTTCTGCCGCCTCCTTGACACGAAAAAACCCTGGGGGGGCTTCCGGAGGTTCAAAATCGTTCAGTGCCTCTGTTCGCAGTTTTCCCTATGTCTACTATCTTTACAGACACATCACCCCCAAAGGATCGCCACCGAGTCGTTGCCCCAGACGGAGCGCAAGCCCCACTGCAAGACCGCCAGTGCCCTTCCTCTGCTGCTGGAGCGCTCCTGGACTCCACAGGGCATGCGGCGCTGGAGGCCGCGCCCGCGGCGGGAGGGCCTGCCGCCACCGCTTCCGCGGGGCCACCGCCGCCGCCCGCCGAGCTGAGCCCCGCTGCCTCGCGCGCCTCGCCCTGGCGCGCGGAGGAGGAGGAGGCCGTGGAGCCAGGCGATGGGCCCCCGGAGCAGTCGCCCTGCAGCGGCACGCTGGTGTCCATCGGGCCCGTGGCCTCGCCCACGGTACTGCAGGAGGGATCCGTCATCGGCACGTCCCCGCCGTCCTGCGAGCCGCCCTCGCCCGCGCAGGCGGGGCTGGGCGCCGCCCCCCACGGCCGCAGCCCCGGCAGCGGTGCGCGCTCGCCGCCGGGAGCCGGGGCGGAGGGCCACGCCTGCACCGCCACGGGCGGAGGCGTGGTCCTGCAGCTGCGCCTCTGCTCCTGCGGCCGCGGCCTGCGGCTGGACCCGCCCCAGGCCGAGAGGAGGAGGAGGAGGAGGCGACGACGACGAGGAGTACGAAAGGGACGAGGAGGACCAGTGCAAACCAAAGACTCATCAATGATACTGCAATAAGCCACCCCTACAAGCTTCATCCTCACAGGCCCCTACAAGGGCTCACTTGCACTGAAGGAGGTGTCCCGATGGAAAGCAGCCGTTTGAAAATCCTGAACTGTGCCAGAGCACCAGTCTTGGGACTTGAACGCCGCGAATCACCGTTACTGCTTCCTTTTGACGATCCTGAGTCGTGCCAGAACACCATGTCTGGGACTTCGGCACCACGAATCAACGTAGCTGTTGCGCCCTGACAGTCCTGCATCGTGCCAAATACCGTTTTCGATGTTAACCACTAGAACTATTGAAACTGTCGTAAAGTTTGAAACCGAATGTACGCGGCGCTAAAGCGAGAGCCACATGTTGAAAAGGAACCGCCTTCCATCCGTGAAATTCTTGCAATGTATCAAAGCGAATGAAACACCCCGCCCTCCATCTGCGAAACTCTTGTAAACTCTTAAGACGAATGCGCGCGGCGCTGAGGCGAAGGCCACATTGTGAAAACCTCCCGCCTTCCATCCGTGAAATTGTTGCAGCTTTCAAGATTCAGGATCATAAGCGATGAGGAAGGCTCAGGCGAAACGCCGGGCCCGCCCTTTCGACTCGCTTCGGGGTGCGACATGGAATAGTGAAGGACGGGGCTAGGACGAGGAGAAATCCGTTCCAGAGCGTTCCGGAACGCTCTCAGAGCGTTCCAGAATGCTCTGAGAAGGCCGCAGCGCCCGAGAGACATCCTCCAGAGCCGCGGGATCTCAGAGATCCCCTGTCCTCACCCGAACATATTTTCGTCCTGGCTTCGGCTTATGGAGGAGGCGGAGGAACAGGTGCAAGCGGCCGCCGGCGAGGCGGCCCCCGGGCCCTGCGGCAGCCCCAGCTGCCACCCCGCGCGCGCTCACGAGGCCAGCGCCGGCAGCCGCGGGGGCGCGGCGGGGCCGCTGCCGCAGGCGGCCTCGGGTGGCCGGGGCCACGCCCTGCGCCGGGAGCCTCTGGCGCAGCTGGGGCTGCGCCGGTCGCGCTCGGCGCCGCTGGGGCGCGCGGCGGCGCAGACGCCGCGAAGGTACCAGGAGGAAAAGACACACACACAGACACAAAGGATCGTCGATTCCCAGGAGAGTATGGGAAAATATGAGAGGTGGGGGGAAGAGGAAAACCCGGAAAATGTAGACAAATCAGATGGGGAATCCTAGGATTTGTGTCTGTTTATTTGTGTGTGTCCCGGGGCCCCTTCGAGGTACTCGTTCGTGGAGGTGCCCGCGCGCCTGCAGGAGCGGACCGCGGCGCGCGAGCCCGCGCAGGCCGCGCAGGGCGCGGGGGCGCGGTGCACGCCGGAGCCGTCCATCGACGAGCTCCAGAGCATGGCCCTCGGGGCGAGGGGCGAGGAGGAGGAGGAGGAGGAGGAGAAGGAGGAGGAGGGGGGAGAAGGAGGAGGAGGATCGAGAAGGAGGAGGAGGATCGAGAAGGAGGAGGAGGAGGAGGAGGAGGAGCAGGAGGAGCAGAGGAGGAGGAAGGAGAGGAGGAGGAGGGAAGAGGAGGAGGGGGAGGGGGAGGGGGAGGATCGAGGCTCGGGCTCGTGGCTTCGTAGATTCCTGCAGGGTGTCCAGCCTGGGGGTGCCTTCCAGCAGCTGCGCCCCGCCCTGGGCGATCCGGGGCTGCCCCCATCGTCCTGGGGGGCCGCCAGGGATGCGAGCTCCGGCCCGAAAAGCAGACATGCAACGCATTGAAAAAAACAGGACGGACCCTGATTTGTTTTCACGACGCGAGATCATGTCTGGGCAGGGGGCCCCCCAAGGCCCGCGGCATGCAGCTCCGCTGCCTCGACCGCTGCCGGCTGCTGCACCCCCGCGGCCTCGGCCCCGGGGGCGGGCACGCGCTGCGCGGCGCCCGGGAGGGCCGGCAGCCGAGCGCCCTCCTCGCGGCCGGCCTGCACCACCGGCGAGGCGGCTGCGCGGGCGGGCGGCAGTGAGCCTCGGGGGCAGCGTTCCAGGTGTTCGGGCCCAGGCATCCGATGCTCGCGTCGGTAGAGAAATTATCCCGGCAAAGCAACCTAACAGCGATGTGTAGGAGCATATCTGGAAGCATTCCCCTTACGATTCAGATGAGAATCCAGTTGTAGAATTCTGCTGTTCTCGCAGTCGCAGTCGCATTCGCGATGACAGTCGCAGTGGCAACGGCAGTCGCAGTCACAGCCTCAGCCTCAGCCTGCCTCAGCCTCAGCCTCAGCCTGCCTCAGCCTCAGCCTGCCTCAGCCTCAGCCTCAGCCTGCCTCAGCCTCAGCCTGCCTTCAGCCTCAGCCTCAGCCTCTGCCTTCAGCCTCGGCCTCAGCCTCAGCCTCAGCCTCAGCCTGCCTCAGCCTCAGCCTGCCTCAGCCTCAGCCTCAGCCTCAGCCTCAGCCTCAGCCTCAGCATCAGCCTGCCTCAGCCTCAGCCTCAGCCTGCCTCAGCCTCAGCCTCAGCCTGCTTCAGCCTCAGCCTCAGTCTGCCTTCAGCCTCGGCCTCAGCCTCAGCCTGCCTCAGCCTCAGCCTGCAGCCTCAGCCTCAGCCTCAGCCTGCCTCAGCCTCAGCCTCAGCCTCAGCCTGCAGCCTCAGCCTGCCAGCCTGCAGCCTCAGTCAGCTGCCTGCCTCAGCCTCAGCCTGCCAGCCTCAGCCTCAGCCCTTCAGCCTCGGCCTCAGCCTCAGCCTGCCTCAGCCTCAGCCTGCCTCAGCCTCAGCCTCAGCCTGCCTCAGCATTCAAAATGTGGCCCGGGAACGGAGTTTTGGGAACTCGAAGAACACGAAGTGGCCTGCAGTTGGCTCCTGGCATTCAAAATCATACCCAGGAATGGATTTCTGGGAACTCGAAGACCACGAAGTGGCCTACAGTTGGCTCGGGGCATTCAAAATCATGCCCAGGAATGGACTTCTGGGAACTCGAAGACCACGAAGTGGCCTACAGTTGGCTCCGGGCATTCAAAATCATGCCCAGGAATCAACTTCTGGGAACTCGAAGACCACGAAGTGGCCTACAGTTGGCTCCGGGCATTCAAAATGTGGCCCGGGAATGGACCTCTGGGATTTCGAAGAGCACGAAGTGGCCTACAGATGGCTCCGGGCATTCAAAATCATGCCCAGGAATGGAGTTCTGGGAACTCGAAGACCACGAAGTGGCCTACAGTTGGCTCCGGGCATTCAAAATGTGGCCCGGGAATGGACTTCTGGGAACTCGAAGAGCACGAAGTGGCCTACAGTTGGCTCCGGGCATTCAGAATGTGGCCCGGGAGTGGATTTCTGGGAACTCGAAGACCACGAAGTGTGTAATTGTTTGCTTCAAACGACTTCCGCGGATTCTCCCCAGATCCTGCCCGGACCCCCCTGGGGAGTCATGATGCTTTCTTTTGAGACCGTTAGAAACCTATCAGTCTTCGCTGTTAGGTAAAAATCCGGACGGGAAGTTATTGGCCCGCTTCGGCCCGAGAGCCTTCGCCGGGCCTCGGGCCCGTCAAAAAAACGACTCGGGACGAAAAACCGGTCCCGGGGACAGGGTCGGGACATCCAGGGACCCCGCATCGAACAAATCACGACGTCGCATGTCTGGGGTAGCGTTCCAGTTTTTCGGGCCCAGGCATCCAACGTCCCCTGAGATCCTGGCGTCGCCATGCTTTTTCACGGCGGGTGCGCTCGCCCAGCTTCGGGCCCTGGGACGCTCACGGATCGGTCCGGCTCGAAGAATGCCGCAGGAAGATGGGGTCCAGGGCTCGCGCTGCTGCCACTTTTTCGCAACGTCGAGTCCCAGGGCCCTGACAAAGATCAAGGCAGCAGCGTCGGCCTCTGCAGGCCCTCGCCGGGCCCTGGGACCGTCGATCGAAGCGCCTCGGGATGAAACACACCAGCCCCGAGGAAAGGGCCAAAAAATTCGTGGCGGCCCCGCATGGAAAAGCCAAGGCATCGGACAGATCTGGTGGTGCTCTCCGGCAGCTGCGCCTCGCTCGCCAGGAGGCGTCCCGCGGTGCCCGGGTCGGCCCGAACGGCCGCCAGAGACCCGAGTCATGAACCGAGGACCACTGACAAGAGGGCCTAGGCTCAGGGGGGGGGGGGATGCATCGAACCTCACATCGGCCATGCATCGCCGACGGCCCCGATGGGCTCACCCCGCCCAGGACCGTGCGAGTTCGCTATCGGCGATGCATCGCGATGCATCGCCGATATCGAGTCGATGTTTCCCCCCTGAGCCTATTTCCCCCTAACGCTGCCCCTGAAGTGAGCAGCGCTCGCCACGAAGGAAACCCAGAGCTCCGACGATCTGACTGTTTCAATCCCACCAGTGTTTCCCCGATTTCGGCCCTCGGGGTCCCGTCTTCGGGCCCCAGGGCCATCCAGAATGAATCCAGGGTGAAAAAACAACCCCCGGGGCCCCAGTTGGGATTTCTGGGGCTGCAGATTGGAAAAAACAGATCGGCGGATGCTGGGCACAGGGCCTGAGCGAAACGAGCCTTAAAGTTGTTCGCCGGTTGCGGGCACCCCGGGCCCTCTCCAGGCCATGGTGGCCGTCAGAAAACGACTCGGGGTGAGAGGCTGGTCCTCGGGGGAGGCCCGAGGATCCAGGAACAGTTTCCCCCTGGACCCGTGTCCTTCACGCCAAGAGGCGGCTGCGCGGGCGGGTGGCAGTGAGCAGCGCGCACTGCACGTGAGCAGCGCGCACTGCCGTCAAATTTGATGGGGTGACAGAGAACAAGTGGTCTGCATCCTCCTCTGCCTCATCCTCATCCTCATCCTTCTATCTTCGTCCTCATCCTCTTCATCCTCAACGTTACCATCCTCGCCCGCGCCCTACCTATTGTCAAGAACTGGCAAGCAGTGCGAGCTGCTCTCACCAGAGAATAACCGACTCGATGGGGAGCGTGCGATCACCATTACCACTACCACTACCACCACCACCATCATCACCATCATCACCATCATCAGCGTCATCATCAGCACCATCATCATCCCTCCTCCCCCCTCTTCCTCATCTCTCCCCCTCCTCCTCCTCCTCCTCCTCCTCCTCCTCCTCCTCCTCCTCCTTCTCAGGCTACTGACTCTCCTCCTCCTCC